ACAAATATATACACTTAAATATATACTCCATTCGTACCCAATATAGTAAATGTGTGTCAAATTTGGTATACTTTTTCCAAAAGGGCTGTGTCACCAGAGTGCATGATAGTCTCACTTTTTTATTACATCGTTTTCTATGATTATTGACGTATCGAAAATTACCATTTGGAGTTATATTTAAACCCTCTCAGAATGTCGTGGAAGCCAGGATTGAAGCAGACACATAAACTTAAGATTTTCATCAACATGGGGAAGTTAAATCGAATTCATGTTTTCAAAAGCATGAATTCGCCCTAATGAGTAATGCCAAGAGATGTTGTAAATCATTAGTTATTGATATAATTCATGATTTCAGTGTGAGAAAAAAAAATGAAGTAGTCAGGGTCTATGTAAGCACATCGGGAGTTTCACAATGTAATAATTATGCGAAGTTGTATTTATATATAAATATTATCCCTGTAGAAATATTTAAGATACCAGGAGGTATGACATTTGTTAAAGAATTTTGTCAGTATTTTTTCTTGTAACATATAGCATGAAATATTGTTCCTGTAAAAATGAATGTTTTAACAGTTCCCCTGTATGAGGTGTGGATCTTTTATGACACACTAGGAATACCACACAGGACTGAGTCTCTACGTCGTTTACTCTGCCCCAACCTCATGTGTTCTGCAATGTGGATTCTTTATTTTAAATTCAATTTCATAATATGCCTGTTACTGCAGAATATATATTAGAAAGACTTTGTCATTACATCTTATCAATTTATTTTATTTCCTCAAACATATCATTATGTCATGTTTTATAGATGATCGGAAAATATTTTGCACAAACCTGACTCATCAACACTAGGATTCTGATATCGTGCTATTATTAGAGGATTCTGATGCAGAAATCCTTCCGGAGGATGAGTGGCTTCAAGAATTAACCACCCGAAACAATGAATACAGTGACTCAGAGGAGGAGGAAGAGAAGGAGGAGGAGGTGCTTGCAGAACCTTCTTCCTCAGCTGAACTTCAGGAGGAATCCAGAAGTAACAAAAAAATATTATCAACTGGTTGTAACTCAGCAGTAAGAAGGATCTTAGTAAGAATAGCCAAATATTCCAATATTCACCAAATGAAATTGCAAGATAATAGGATCATCAGAGCCTTTGTCTCCTAGTGAGTAATTTAATAGATACATATCTGAAAATATATTAGAAGCCCTTACTGTACAGACGCAGAAGAATTATTTTGCTAAGACTGGAACTCCACTTCAAGTAAATGAAGATATGAAGATATTCATTGGTATAAATTTATCATGGGTGTACTGAAATTCCCCAGGCAAAACATGTACTGGAAGGAAAGGACAAGGATTTCTATTAATGCATATGCTATGGTCAATAATCGTTTTCAGGTTTTGAGGGCTACAAAACCTGAAAGAAAGAAAATAAACTTTGGAAACTTGAGCCTTTACTTGTCAGCATCAGTCAGAGATGTATGGAATTAGAGAGAACACCCGCTTTTGCTGTGGATTAGATGATCATCCCCTTTACTGGTTGTACTATCTCGAAACAGTTTTGTCCACGGAAGCCAAATCCACATAACCCGAAAGTCATTGTGTTTGCTTCACCGGATGGCCTTATTCTTGATTTTGAGTTCTATGAAAGTAAAAAACCGCTCTTGAAATCCGTGACTAGAACAAACTTGAAGGTTGAAGGTTTCAACAATCTAACCATTGGTGAAGCTGGAGTAGTCCGAAGATTCGTGAATTCTGTACCCCAAGGAACCTCATTCTACTACGACAGGTTCTTCACCACGCTCGCCATCTTGAAATTATGACCGAGTTGGGGATGGGTGCTACTGGCACGCTTTAAAAAAAAATCTGGTACCTAAACCTTGCAAACACAAACACGAAAAAAAAACAACTAAAGAGACTCGGTAGAGGCACTTCAGACTGTTTTGAGCGGGATGACAGAGGATTCTCGGTAACTGTGTGGTAGAAGAAAGCCATCTTTATTGCTTCCATTCAGCATGGCATAGAACCATGAGTGAGTGATGTTTATATGTTTAAGCATTTAATTTCTTGCTAATGCAATGATTTTTTTTTTTTTTACATGCTGTGATAGGTCTGTACTCAAATACCTCATATAATGATATTAAAATTTATAAAGAGGGTTTTTCTTTGTATCAATATATTCTTTTGCAAGAATCAAGGTTATTTTATCTCAAACTGTAATATCAATTATAATAGCGTAGTGATATTAGAAAATGACAGTTTTCATTCCATATCCTGTCCACAAGTCCTGCGATTTTCATTTAAAAAAAACGTTCTTGGGTTCAAATGGTATCCATAGCAACACAAGTGCATTCGAGTAGATTTAATTGCCTCGATTATAATAAATAATTAAAGCAATCTTTGTATTGGTATATTAACAGTGACAGAGAGACAAAATAAATAATTCTACAAATTATTATCCTCAATAACAAAACTATTTTATTCCCCTAAAGTCATTTTCGAATGGGAGGAAACAGCTGATTGTGGAAACAGCTGATCGTGGTTCAGAAAACTCTTCAATAGGAGAAGTGCGTAGCTATTATTTGTAGCTATTATTTTCTTTTTCTAAAGTACTCATAGGGTGAGACATATGCTAAGAGGGAGCTAAGAGTGTAGTCAGTTAAATGCGTTAGTCGGAGGAGTAAATCATTTCATGTAGGTCTGATTTTTTTTGTAGATAACCGGTTTGTAGAAATACGATGATATACTATGAAAAAAAAAAAAAAATTAATATATATATATATTTTTTTTTCGGTTAATTATGCGTTGACAATATCTTATTTCTTGAGGGAATTTTAATTATGAGCTGAATATTATTTTCTTTTCTTTTTTTCTTTCATTTTCTTTCATTTCCATTTGTAAAAGTCAACTTCATGGTAAACATTTTGTGGAATCAATAAATGGATAAACGCTAAGCTAAGCATAAATGAAATAGTAAGGAATAATTAAAGGTCCTGTCGTGATGGATTTATTTAGTGAGGTTTGTAGGCCTTTTCCATACTGTTAAAGGTGCAAAGGCCTATTTTAGGTGTATCATGAAAGCCAATGGCAGATATGGTTAAATTTACGAATTCAAAGGCATAGTCATTGCTTTTTTGTAAATTTAGAAGTTGTTTCCTTAAATTTATACAACTCGGTATTATCTAACGATAACTGTAACATCTGAGTTTTTTCCCTTTGAAATGGCCAGCAAATATCTGTTTCATATGCTTTGGGAGTATGAATTTGTATTGGTTACCTATTCATCAGCAAGTTGCAAGCAATATCAATAATAATTCATAGAGACAATATTTCATTTGGGTGAATTTGAATGTTTGAGGCATTGGTACCTCTGTCTAGTGAAGGAATTGCTTTCACAGAATTGTTGAAATATAACAGTACATATAATGGGTAGTTTTAATTATACAGATTTTTTAAACATGATGTTTGGTGGATATCCATAGAAGAAAGGGCAGTCAATCTTTCAGCTCAGTATTCTTTTTTATAACACTCTGAACAAATACATTACTTATACTCATACTTTAACTCAATAGATCAACACAATTTATGCACCTTTAGTAAGGCCAGCCAATATCCATCATGTCACATATATTCTAGCAGAATAGACCCTGGACTTGTTCCTTATATGGCAGTTAATCACATTGGAGATTTACAAGCTTCCTCGTACCAGGATACATTGGTTAAGACTAAATTGCTAAAATATGTAGTCAGATGGAAAACACTAGGATATTTGTAGAATAATAATTTGCTTTGGAATATTACTGTATTCTACGCAATTTATTCTTCTTTCTTTTTTCTCCTCTCTTTTATAATTTATACAATATCTTTTTAAATATTTCCCCCATGTCTCATCCATCTATTTTGTCATTCAGTCCATCAGGTGCATATGTGAATAAACTATGTTTTAGTCAAATGTATTGTTTGCGTATTTTCTTGGATATATGTTAGAGTAAAGTGAGTTGGAAGTATGAATGATTTGTCCATTTAAACAATATGTTAATTTTTCCATCAGAAAGTCCTGGTCTTTGAGCTTTAGTGGCTGTCTCAGGGATCAGTTTGAAGGACTTTTTTGTGGTATGTTTTTTTTTTCAAAGTTTATTTTATTTTTTAAATCTCCTGTTTCTATTGTGAAAGAGGAAAATCTTTCCATTATCAGCCAAAACCTTCTCTGCTTTGGATCTGAATGATTTTTTTGAAAAAAACATGGAGAGAGAGAGAGAGAGAGAAAGAGTGAGTGAGTGAGTGAGTGAGTGAGTGAGTGAGTGAGTGAGTGTGTGAGTGAGGGAGTGTGTGAGTGTGTGAGTGTGTGAGTGTGTGAGTGTGTGAGTGTGTGAGTGTGTGTGTGTGTGTGTGTGTGTGTGTGTGTGTGTGTGTGTGTGTGTGTGTGTGTGTGTGTGTGTGTGTGTGTGTGTGCGTGCGTGTATGTGTGTGTTTGTGTGTGTGTGTGTGTGTGTGTGTGTGTGTGTGGTGTGTGTGTGTGTGTGTGTGTGTGTGTGTGTGTGTGTGTGTACGTACATGTACAGGCTAGACAAATTTGTGCTTTTACCTTACTATTAGTTAATTTGTGTATTTTCTCTAATACTTCAAGTCATACTGGAATGGTTAAGGTATATTTTGCTGTGGTCAATTCAGGTTTGGAATTTTGCTTGTAGATGATATTTTCTGTTATCTTTTAACTTCTGATGGGTTTGCTTTTAGAGTGAATACTGTAATGTTTAAACAGTTACATTAATTTCTAGCTGGGCAGGATTATGTTTCATGTTAATTTTATGTTACTTTTTTATATGATGTGTATTTCAAAATAGAAGGATTATTTTTATTTAAATTTATTTTTTTACTATTCTTTTTTTTTTTTTTTCTTTCTATTTTGTATCCTGTATTGCTTATTATTATATACATGCTAGTTTAAAACAGAGAAACATTAGTTCTTTAAATGCCTGGTTTGTACAAATCATTTTAAAGTATTCTAAAAGAGAATTGTTTCATATGATCTTATATTAATTTTTATTTATATGCAGTCTTAATTGACATAATATATAGCGACAGTTACAAAAGGGACAATGGAATGACAACCCGTCCTTCTTTCAGAATGGTACTGACAAGACTTCTGCCCTCGAGAGTGAGGCCAGGACTTCGGTCTCTGCTGATCTCAAGCAGGAGGATGTCGTCCAGCGCACCCGAGGTAATACTAGAGGACGTGGGGGACAAAGGCCTGATTACGCTGAACAGACCGAAGGCCCTCAATGCCCTCAATCTCAACATGGTGCGACTCATCTACCCGAAGCTGAAGGAATGGGAGAATACCAAGTCCATGGTCATTATCAAAGGTAAGAGAGGAAGCTGGTGGAAGGGAGGCTGGAGAGAGACAGAGACAGAGAGAGAGACAGAGAGAGAGACAGAGAAAGAGACAGAGAAAGAGACAGAGAGAGAGACAGAGAGAGAGACAAACAGACAGACAGAAATTGTGGTGGGATACCTGCCTTTGAATATAGAAGTATCTTGGATCTTATCTTTTCTTTTTCTAATTGTGTAAATACCTGTCCTTAGTATTTTTCTTAAAATTACCTTTTCTCTTGCTAAGTGAAGAATAGAAATAAAAGATTATTATTTCTGTAAAAAAATTAAAAAGTATATATCCTAAGTTACATAATTAGCATAAGTATTATATTATAGCAATAGAAAATATACAAAAATATACTTTACAAGTAGCATGCTCCTAGAAAATATCATTTAGAATTATATATAGCCTTAATATCATTGATACAGGGACAGGAGAAAAGGCCTTCTGTGCTGGTGGAGACGTGCGGTCCATTGTGGAGGGGAAAACAAACGCCTCCGAGATTGGGCCTGATTTCTTCCGGGAAGAGTACATGCTTAACTGCCTCATTGGAACTCTTCATATTCCATACATTGCTCTAATTGATGGTAATGCGCCACTACAGATTTTTCTTTTTCTTCTGTTTCTTTTTTCCCTTGGTTTAGGTATTCTAAGACTTAGTATTTTGATTTTTTTGTTTTTGTTTTTTAAGATGGAAACCAGGTGGATTTTGAAATGGTGTCTCAATTTCAGTAAATCTAGTTTTTGCATTGTGGGGATATTCTGCATGGTATCTACATGGAAGAATGTTTTACCATTTGTAGTGTATAGGAATAGAGTATTTTTGAGGGTATGGAGAGTATGTAATTTTATTGTTTAGATTTATTAGGTGATTTATTGAAGTGTGCCGGTTCTGTAAAGTAAGTGCAATAAATTGGATGATATTTACAACTTGGGTGTCAGAATACTGTGTATCTAAAAGTGTTTAAAACCACAGAGCTCAACATGTAAATTAATTGTATTTAGTGTAGCATAACCCTTCTGACACGATGCTTATCCTTGAGCTTACTATACAGAATAAAAGATAAATAGATAAATCACAAGGTCACGTTGATCTTATCACCTGGCATCATATTCAAACAAGTAGTATAAGGGGAATAACAAATACGGCTGTTATGTTTATCTGCTGTTTAGAAATGATGAAGGACCATTTTGCAATTTTTTTTTTTTTTTTTTTTTTTTTTTTTTTTTTTTTGAACTCTGGTAAATTTTTTAATTAATTATTCAAAGAATTATACCTTTTCTCAGTAGCATGAACTGAAATGTTTTAACTCACTGATGCTAGGATGGCAAAAATACATGCCACATTCACTGTCATTTTAGTTTATTAATAACAGTTTACACAGAGATGGCTCCATAAGTACTTAGTCAGTTACTAATCTGACGTATCTTACTTCTTTACCCCTTTTCCTTGATTTTCTGAGGGCTTCACTGGCTCAAAATATGGGCATTGGGCTTACTTATACAGCCAATCTGAAGGGTGTGTGGCTTGTAGGCTGGGTGTGCAGGAAGACTTGTGTGTGGTGACAAGACTCTATACCTTCCCTTTGCAATGTTATTTTCTTTTCTTTTTTCTTTTTTTTCAGCAAAAGTATTTTTAGATTTTTGTTATTTTCCAGTGCCCATATTTGTCATTTTATTTGCTTTATCCAGATGGAGATAGACTGTTTTCCATACAAAGATTTCATATTATCCCACTAGGTAGTCCATAATTCAGTGCAGCAATAATAACAATAAGTGTTATTTGTGTAATTTTTAAAATATTTCTTTGTAATATTCAATTTCCTGCAGTACAACCTGCTCCGCTTGTGACAGTGGCCAGGAATAGGATGTTGAGCGTGCAGATATCATCCTCCCTGGAACCCGTGCTCTTTCACTCATAATTCACAGATGGTAAATTCCACTTGAAGATAATGTAAAAGCCCCTTCCTAAAGACCCACAGAGTCTAATCACCCTGCAAGAGCTCTCTGCACTTGTGGCAAGTCATTCCCATCACTCCAACCTTCAGCCAAAATTCTCATGATGGCAAGTTCCCGTCACTCCTTCCCTCAGGCAAATCTTCCCATGACCGCATGTTCACATGACCTGCCCCTCAAGTCAAATTTTATTGTGGCATGATGGTCACATCATTTGGATGGATTAATAATAACGTTACAATAATTATAATGTCAAAAAAAACAACAACAGCATTATTGGCCACATGCTAGCCGGTCACTTGTGAGGCCATTGATCTGCAAACAAAATTCACAAAACAAAGCTACAGTAAATAGTACATGTTCTTAGCAGCAATGGGGTCATAAATGATATAGAATAATGGCTCCCAGGTTTTTTAAAGTGATGCATCTACTTTTAAATTTTTGAAAAATTACCAGGTAAAATTACTTCTGCTGACATTTGACCAGTGCACTATACAGAGCTGAGAATGTCAGTGCTATGGAATGTGTTTGTACAGGATAGAAAAGCAAACAAATGAGGTGCATATTTTAATTAGAATAGCTCTTTATCAATGCATTTTAACAGCAAATTCTTTCAGGTATCACAATGGGTGGTGGTGTAGGGTTGTCTGTTCATGGAGATTATCGAGTTGCCACAGAACGAACCCTGTTTGCAATGCCAGAGACTGCCATTGGGCTCTTCCCCGATGTAGGAGGTTCTCATTTCCTACCTCGACTGGGAGGGCGATTAGGGATGTATTTAGCTCTCACAGGTGTGTAAATTTTGTGTGTATATTTTCCTTAGTGTACATATTTTTTATATATATATAATTTTTTCATTTTGAAAGCTAAAAATACATAATGATTAAAAAATATATGATTTAATGTAATTCAGGTAGTTCATTTAAATAAAACTTTTGTCTGAAGGGGAACAACAAAGTTGGTTTTGTGTAATTTTGTGTAAGCATTGTCTGAGTTTGGTAGTAAAGAGGTCATTGTGGAAGACTTGTTTATACAATTTCCCAATTTCAGGTCACAGACTAAAAGGAAGAGATGTACTGAAAGCAGGCGTTGCCACTCATGTGTGCGATGCTGCGAGAATAGGGGAGTTGGAGGAGGCATTGTTGAAGTTGAACTCTCCGTACCCAGAAGATATTGCACAAGTCATTGAGAGCTTCCACAAAGTAAGCCAGAAGTCTGAGTGTTGATTTTAACCCTACAATGACAGTACCAGTAATATCTTGGCATCACTGATTCTGGTGACTTCTGGCAACTTCTAGCTGTTTGGCCAGGGAGTCAGCTACAGAACTTCCTAGCGTGTCATGATGCCTATAGCCATACCTGTCAGGATGAGTTGGTTTTTCATGATGGCTATAGGTGTGCCCAGCAGTAAGAGGTTAAGAATGCCATTGTGAATTGTATATATTTGAAGGGTATTTTAAATTTAAAAGATGCATCATATCATTATTCTTTTTTGTGCAATTGGGATAGGGGCAGTATTTACCAATATTTGATTTATATATGTATATTTTTTTATTATTAATTATACATTTTTTACTTTACTGTAAAGAGCACTGTTATTATATATTTTTGGTTAGTTAATGTGGGTTAACCCATTGCCGCTGGGAAAAACGAACAAAAATTGGGGAAAATGCTGTACTTTTTTTAAATATTTTTGTGAAATATCTCTGTACATAGATGGCTCTGCTAGTCCTGATTTCACTTTTCCTTGAATTGGCGGGAAAAAACGTATTCTTACTAGTGATATGAATATCGATGGTGTTATTTTTAACAGCAAATTAGGATAACGTTAAATATTTTCGTAAATCGATGAAAAGGGTGAACAGGCGAGACAGGCAGTACTCGTAATTGACTCGCTGGTGACATAGTACAAGTGTAGCCATCTATGTGTAAAAACAATCAAACAAGTCGACTCACAGTGGGCATGGCATGTATGTACATGCCATCCCTGGCTGCAATGGGTTAAAGCTAGTATTCAGTATGCATTATTGATTTTTTTTCCATGTTTTTTAAACATTTGAATACAGTTTCAGTATTGGATTTCATTAGTGTAACTGAATATATTTTGATTGTTTGTTTTGTAATAACTTTAAGTTGCTGTTATATATTTTATCTTACAGGAGTCCACCTTCAGTAAAGATGTGCCATTCTCACTACAGCCTATGCTACCAAAGATCAAGGCTTGTTACTCTGGTGGTAGTGTTGAGGAGATCATTTCAAACCTTGAGAAGGTAAGCCTATTATCCTTTATAAGACTTTTGTTTAAAACTATATTCTAAGCAATGGATAAGTAGTTTTTGTTGGGAACATCCATTGGTTGGATGAAAAGAGAGATTTCTTTCATAAAAAAATATATGTTGAAAATAGCAAAGACCTATTGACCGAAACCTAGATTTGAGATAATCTGCGATGATTACATGGATTCTGTTCTGGTTTGTCTTTAAAAATACCTCTTATCTAAGGCCTTTTACTTGTGCTCATAAAATTTTGCAATGATAAGTGAAAAAGCTATTGAGATTGTATAGCAAAATATCTTGATTCTTATTCTAAATACAACATGTTCATTGCTGAAAACACAGTTGACATGATGTGTAAATGTAATTGGCTGGAGATAGGCCCCATCTATTCTTAGATTCTGCTCCCAGCCAGCGGGAGGTGGGGCCCAGGATGGCTATATTGAAGGAATATTTTTGTAGTATTGTCACTCTTATACTTGTGGCCTAAATACAAACATTTGGAGTAAGACTAATGAACAAAGGCTGACTCTATATACTGGTAACTGTAACTCAGTAACCCACTTTTGCTTGATTGGCCTTTTCTCATTATCATCTAGACATATATTTATTTGCTGGATAGAGAAAAACAACTTTCCTGGTTATCTATCTATCTATCCATCTATCAATCTATCTATCTATCTATCTATCTATCTATATATATATTTATGACTGTCTATATCTCCATCTTTAAGTGTGTCTGTATCTCTTATCTATATGTGTATGTGTGTGTGTATGCGTGTGCGTGTGCATGTGTGTGTGTGAAAATAAATATACTTCTTAAGATGACATGGTGTTTTTGATTAATCTAGAGACTTTTCAACATTTCCCATCTAATCCTGACAGGATGGATCCGAATGGGCACAAAAGCAACTGCAGATCCTGAGCAAAATGTCCCCTACCTCATTAAAGGTGACTTTTGAACAGTTAGAACGAGGAGCGCACCTTACCCTCCAGGAGTGCCTTACCATGGAGTTGCGAATGGTTTGGCGGTTCTACCATGATCATGACTTTAGTGAAGGTGAGTGTTTAGCAGAATATATGTATATCTATGTATCTATATCTTGTCCCTAGCTATGTTGTTGTCATGTCCCTATTATGAATACTGTTGTCATTATCATCATTATAGTTATTGGCATTATTACAGTGTTTATTATTCGTTATTATTATTATTATTATTATTATTATTTTTATTATTACTATTATTATTATCATTGTTTATTATCATACTATAATCATCGTTGTTTTTATTATTATGTCAATATTGTTATTTTTATTGTTATGTCAATATTGTTCTTATTTTTAGTATTAGTATTAGTATTGTTATTGCTACTATTGTTATCATGACATTATTGATATTATTATTATCTTTACTGTTTTTGTTGTTGTTATTATTATTATTATTATTATTATTATTATTATCATTATCATTGGTATTATTGTTATTGTTATAGTTATTATTATCATTACTGTTATTATGATTATTATTATTGTGATTATTATTATTATTGTTATTATTATTACTGTTATTATTATTACTGTTATTATTACTATTATTGTTATTGTTACTATTATTGTTATTGTTACTATTATTGTTATTGTTACTATTATTGTTATTATTGTTATTATTACTATTATTATTATTATTATTATTATTATTATTATTATTATTGCTGTTGTTGTTATTACTATTATTATTAGTGCTACTATTATTATTGTTATTGTTATCATTCATTTTTTTATTATTAATATTATCAGTATTATTAGTATTATTATTATTATTATTATTGTTATTGTTACTATTATTGTTATTGTTACTATTATTGTTATTATTGTTATTATTACTATTATTATTAGTGCTACTATTATTATTGTTATTATTGTTATTATTATTATTATTGTTATTGTTACTATTATTGTTATTATTACTATTAGTATTATTACTATTATTGTTATTATTATTATTATTATTATTATTATTATTATTATTATTATTATTATTATTATTATTATAATTATTATTACTATTATTATTAGTGCTACTATTATTATTGTTATTATTACTATTATTGTTATTATTACTATTATTATTAGTGCTACTATTATTATTGTTATTATTACTATTATTGTTATTGTTATAGTTATTATTATCATTATCATTGGTATTATTGTTATTGTTACTATTATTGTTATTGTTATAGTTATTATTATCATTATCATTGGTATTATTGTTATTGTTACTATTATTGTTATTATTACTATTATTATTAGTGCTACTATTATTATTGTTATTATTATTATTATAATTATTATTACTATTATTATTATTATTGTTATTATTATTATTATCATTACTGTTATTATGATTACTATTATTGTTATTATTACTATTATTATTAGTGCTACTATTATTATTGTTATTATTACTATTATTATTATCATTATCATTGGTATTATTGTTATTGTTACTATTATTGTTATTTTTATAGTTATTATTGTCATTACTGTTATTATGATTACTATTATTGTTATTATTATTATTGTTATTGTTACTATTATTGTTATTATTACTATTAGTATTATTACTATTATTGTTATTATTACTATTATTGTTATTATTATTATTATTGTTATTGTTACTATTATTGTTATTATTATTATTATTATTATTATTATAATTATTATTACTATTATTATCATTATCATTGGTATTATTATTGTTATTTTTATAGTTATTATTGTCATTACTGTTATTATGATTACTATTATTGTTATTATTATTATTGTTATTGTTACTATTATTGTTATTATTACTATTAGTATTATTACTATTATTGTTATTATTACTATTATTATTATTATTATTATTATTATTATTATTGTTATAATTAGTATTATTATTGCTGTTGTTGTTATTACTGTTATTATTATCATTACTGTTATTATTATTACTATTATTGTTATCATTATTATTATTATAAGTGTTCGTCATTATTTTACTATTATTGTTATTATTACTATTACCATTATCATTATCATTGTTATTATTGTTATTGTTATAGTTATTATTATCATTATCATTGGTATTATTGTTATTGTTACTATTATTGTTATTATTATTATTATTTTATTATTATTATTAGTATTATTATTATTATTATCATTATCATTGGTATTATTGTTATTGTTACTATTATTGTTATTATTACTATTATTGTTATTGTTATTAATTTTTGTTCTTTTATCGTTACTAGTATTATGGCAGTTTGCATTTGGTTTTTTGTGTATTCATTTTTGTAATTATTATTCAATGGGGGCAGAAGAAATGAAGCCAAAGAACCACCAGCAAGAGGAATCACATGAAAGCTACTCTGCCCCAAAACATGTGGAAGAAGACAGTTTAACCCTATCAGAGAAAGTTCAAGATATCCCATTTCGAACACTGGAAATCGATACTGGCCATTTTTGCAGCGGTAAAGATGTCCCCAAAGGAAAGAAAAGAAAGCGAGGCCAGGGGGAAAATAAAAGCTCTCGGGAGGCTGCATGTAATGGGAAAATTCTCAGGAAAAGCCCCAGACCAAATTATTTTGTTGGTATCAGAGTCTCAGACTGTGAAATTCATAGAGCAATTGTGAGGATTCAAGAGGCTATAATAGCATCTGATCCCAATTTATATCAGACTCTGATTGATGTAGCTTCTTCACACATTACAGTTCTGGTTATGTACATTGATAGTGATATTGCTCTGTCCACTGCCTCTTCAGCATTAGATACATGCTGGGATAGATTGAAAGAAGATATTGAAAAAGGCCCTATACAGATGACATTTTCAGGGATAGGGAGCTTTTCAGACAGAGTAGTTTATGCTAGGTTGAGAGAGGATGAACACTACTTTAGACTACTCAGACTAGCCAAGGAAGTGCGCCAAATATTTTCAAGTGCGAATGTGTGTTTACCTGATGAAAAGCCCATTCACCCTCATCTAACAATTGCCAAGATGTCAAAAGTTCATCAGAAGGCAGGTGGCTTCCCAAGGAAAATCAATCCTGCAGCTTACCAGCTCTTTAAAAATATCCACCTTGGATGCCAATCAGTGTCTGGGCTTCAGCTCTTGAGTATGACCAGACCAAAAGACAAGGAAAGGTACTACTATTGTGCCAATGAGATAATATTTGAAGAAAGTTGCAAGGAAAGAGGAGATCATTCTCATTGTTGCTTCCCCAGAAGACCTTTAAGATATGTGTAGGATTTGGAAGTGAAAGTGGTAAAAATTTTTCTATTAGACGTGAGAAACATCAATGATTACCTAGATTTTTGTATTGTGTTTGTGTGTATGTGTGTGTGTGTGTGCATGCATGTATGTGTGCTTGTGCACATGCTCACGCATGTGTGTGTGTGTGTGTGTGTGTGTGTGTGTGTATGTGTGTGTGTGTGTGTGTGTGTGCATGCAAGTAAGGTGAGTGAGTGAGTGAGTGAATGAGAGAGTGAGAGGTATATTCCTCTTTATAGATATTACTCTCTGTAGCATCATTATTGAACATCCTGCTATCTTCATTATGAAAGTTGTTCTTATTCTATTAGTATGGCATTTGTCATTAAAAATTATTGTTTTTGCTACATATTTTTGTTGTTATTGTTACTTAATGATTATTATAATTATTGTTTTTTTCTATCTCTCTTATACATCTTATTTTTTTGGTTTATTACTAGTTTATTGTAGTCCTTATTGCTGATTTACTCAATGTTTTTATGCAGTGGTGAAAGTACTTATCATTATTATTTATAATGATTTTTATTAGGGAATATTCTTTATTTTACTTTTATTTTTTTTATTTTATTTAATTTTGTTTTTTTTGATAACCTAAATTCCTTGTCTTTTCTTGTTACTACCTTATTTTTTTCAAGTATTTAGCAGATTTTTTTCATAATTTTGAATTTACATTTATATATATATTTTTATTACCATTTGAAATGTTGATTTAGATATAGTACAACAGTTTTTCTCACATCATGTAGTTATATTTTAGTTAGCTATATATGATTTGATTAATACATTATTTTCTTTTCTTTATAAATAATTTGTTAGAAGTAATTTGTAGTCCAGAATAGGATTTGATGCATGTCAGCAGACTTGATTCCACTAGGCAGTGGTTTAACAACTCTATGAATGCCCCATAGGCGTACAGGCCTTCTTCTCTGATAGAACTCCCAAGTGGAAGCCTGCCTCTCTGTCTGAAGTGACAGCGGAGAAGGTGGACGAGTACTTGTCACCTTTGCCAGATGAGGATGAAAACTTGTTTTAAACAGGAATAAACTCTTGCTGTATGTATGTCAGCAATCTTGAGTCATATTCCC